TGTGTGTGTGTGTGTGTGTGTGTGTGCGTCTCTGTGGTGTGTGGTGTGCGCTCTGTGGTGTGTTGTGTGCGTCTCGTGTGTGTGGTGTGTGTGTCGTACGTCTGTGTGTGTGTGTGTGTGTCGTGTGTGGTGTGTGTGTGTGTGTGTGTGGTGTGTGTGTGCTGTGTGTGTGTGTGTTGTGTGTGTGGTGTGATATTATATGTAGTACATATATATATATATAATATATATATACTATATATTATATATAAGATAGTAGAGTATGATGTGTGTGGATCGTGTGTGGTTGTGTGTGTGTGATTGTGTTGTGTGCTGTGTTGATTGTGTGTGTGTGTAGCTACATAGTAACCGATATATATATGTAACATGATATACCTAATATATTATAACATACATACATTATAGATACAACAGATACTGAGTACACATGATACAGACATACATACCCTTACCCATAACATCCTATGATCTTACCTTTTACTCTGCTCTCTCTCTCTACTCATCTCTCTCTACTTCTCTCTCTCTCTCTTACTCTCTCTACTCTCTTACTCTATCTACTTTTTACTCACTCTCTCTCTCTCCTCATCTCCATTCTTCCTATCATTAACCCTTATTCATCACTGTATCACTACACACACCTCACTCACCCTCCTACTACACCTAGATACCTCCCTCCATACATCCTACTATAGAGAAGATATACAAGCGTCCTTGCTCTGTGCGCGCTGTGCGTGTAGTTTTGTGCTGTGCTCGCTCGTATGTGTCGCTCGTTGTCTTATAACTCCACATAACGAAGACTCAATCACATCTACGTCCGCATCTCGTTGCGACAAGCAGTCACGCCTCATGAGGCGGACTAGTTTTGAAGTCTAAAACCAAACCGAAAGGCTCGTTATGCTAGTACATGAAATATTCTTCTCTTTATCTCGGGCCTCTCCTTTCTTCCCTCTTACGGACTAGGCAAGCTTGGAGTCACCACGGTCGTCCGCGTATCTTGTGAGGGATGGACTTCGTTTCGCCCGGAGCGGCACACTTCTGTTCGGGTCCCCGCTCATCATGTTTTCCTACCATGGCAACGAGTGCCGGCCATGTCAACGTTGTGTCCTATAATATAATCAACAGCCACAGGAGGCATGAGGATTATCCAATTATTGTAACCAGAGTGTCAAGTTGGAGGACATGATTAGAGACCTGTAGTTGATTAAATGAACACTAAAAACGTGTGTTAGGAGAACATTATGCGGAAATGAAGATATAGGGTCATTATATCTTCGTCACAGAGAACAGTTGGTATCTTAATGATATCGTTTGCGGTGCACATCGATTCTCTGATATCCATTCTCATTACGTGACAAACACTGCGAGAGAGACTACAATGAGCACAGCCAGAGCTCCAACAGCAGTTACTAAAGGCATGACTCTGTGGAGTACAAGTCACATAAGCCTACGTAAAACAGGTAAAAGCAAAAGGGAGTAAATTTGATGAGAAATGGCAACCGCAGTGACTGACCTTGACAAGGACAGACCAGACTTGGAAAGGAGAAATTGTTTACCTTGGCTGCAAGCGCGAAATGCACACCTCACCTGCAGAGTCAAATAGTCCATCTGTTAGTGTACCGAGGAAGCTCAAACCTCAGTTCGTTGCCTTTTAGTGCACAAAGACCAGTCCGTAAGCAAGGACTTCATGTCACTATGGCCGTCACCCACTGATACAATTGTCTTATATAAGACCGAAACGAGACGGGCACGCCTTTACAAAGACAATCACAATATACTTCTCCTAGAAACATAGACGTTGAACGGAGATAGAGCGTATAGACCCTCACGCAATCTTATTTGGACACGCAATTATGAAATATCCTTAGAGCACACAATTGCACGCATTTACCGATTCCCCATTATAGAAACATAGACACATACATCCTATCACACTAGTACAAAACGAAAGTTAATCTAACATCACAAAGCACACCACAGACTGGTTCACCACTAAACCTAACATCATCCCGAGACGCCCACCACACCACTGCACAGATGCAACACCACAAGTAGTTTAAAGCATACAAGATGATAATGTCTATTCGAACGCACTGTCACGGCCAACCGGCCAGTTAGCAGTTGAATAAGCGCAGCTCGAAGAGCCTCACACTACGTCTTGCCTCACCCTCCCCCCCCCGGTGTATCTCAACTTATTCATATACTTCCCTATCCCATAGTCTCCCCAACCGTCCACGATAGGTTCTTACCGTGATTGGCAAAATAAATATACATATTGTTTATATGGAATTCATATCTCCTCGCGAACTAGTGTGAAGACAGAGTCTACCACTCACCATGAGATCTTAAGACACTGTATAACACATATATCCCTCTCGCTGCCACGAACATTCTACTCCACTACTTTACTACTTACAATAATCTTAGATCTCTTACATATCTGCGTGGTTCCCTCTACTATCCTCGCCAACGCGTGCTCTTTAACCCCAACTTTTCTATCCCACCCTCCCCACCATTCCCACTAACCTATCTAGCGTCATAACTGCCAATACTATTTACACAACCACATTTGCATCATCACCCACCATACTGTCAATCAACACTTCCTCCAGCCTTCTAACTCTATGCGCCTCTATCCACTCCTGTCATACGACAACAACCCCAATCTATCATATCCTCGGTTCTCATAAATTACCATTTCATTCTTCTCTCCAGACAGATATCCCGTCTTTTCACTACACGGCGGCAAGGACATATCCTTCGCTCAAGGATTTTGAACAGAGAATGAGATGATTTCTGCAAATATTCACGCAGGAATATTTGCATAATGAGAAAATGAAGAAAAAATGGAGAAGAGTAACTTTAAGATCAAAATAAAAGGGAAGATGGATCTGGAAAAGGTATGTGTAAAGGCGAGGGGAAATATGAACTGAAGAATGGCTAGAATATAATAGAGAGACCTCAGATGAATAATAAACACTAATAAGAAAAGAAAATGGTAAGACGAGTGAGACAAGGCAGCTTCGCGGCGGGGCCACATCAATCTCTTAAAAAAAAAAAAAAAAAAAAAAAAAAAGCATGGTTATTACAGGACTTCCAGTCTAGCTGTCAGACAAGAAGTCATCAAATAAAATTTTATAGAAACCATCTTCTTTTCGATGGCCAATGAATATGATGCCGACTTTTAAATGTTTATTTACCATCATCATCGCCGTCATTATATCCTGGTCACGTAGATGATGTTTGGGATTAATATGCAACTGTCTTATTGTTTGTTAGTACAGGTATTGTGATTAATGTTGGTATTGTGTTAGTTATTACCCATGTTATTATTATTATTGTTGTCGTTACGAATA